GTTTGAAAAGAATATTTATCAATTGTCATGAAGCATCATACTAAATTCTTATTTAATTCTGAAGAGATAAATTAAAGCTAGGGATGAAATTTTTATTGTTCAAAATCATAACTATCAATGAGATTACTAATAATTTAGGGGAAATGCATCATAGTTAAATAAGTTCCTAATGATTGTTTGCAGATGAATTTAGATTTAGAATTAAATCAATAATTAGAGTAATACTTAGTTCTAAAAGAATACATCAAAAATAGATAATAGATCTTTATGTGCATCATTTTCATAACATATATATAGATGGCTAGAAGAAAACTGACAAGCAAGCCGAAAATCTCATAAGCATCCATTTTCAAGGAATAAAAGTACACTTTGACCTAAAATGATGAAATAAAATGCAAGTTGGAACAAAAATATTTCATGCTCAAAATTTAAATAATTTAGGATTGTGTACAGGTTTTATATTAATTATAAAAATAACCATCGAGTTAAAATAAAGATAACATGGGCCATAATAATTCATAAAACAGAAGAATTTCTTTAGTGTTAGTGTTATTGTAGTGCTATTGTTAATGAATATGTTGCTGTTAACCATGTTGCATTTTAATAAAAGAGAGAAGATATTTGTAAAAGAGATTCTTGTTCAACAAACTATAGCGATTCTTCTTGTGATCAAAATGAACCATTATCATTGTTCCTACATCGACTCTAAATTACATTTTAGCAATCAAATATATATGATTATTTCCTTGCAGTAATTTTGTGTTTACAAAGTTTTGTAACATCCCAGTTGCATCCAAGTTGCATTTATACATTTTTGTTTAGTTGATTACAATGCTTATAAAGCACTAATACATCCTTGCATCCATCTGATAGACCTATGAGTTAATAACAATTCAGGTGCAAATTAACATCTAATTGCTCAACACTCCTTGAACTTTTACATCCAAAATCAACTGTTAATTTTGTATTATAATTGCTGCTATAGTGGCACTACAAGTAATGAATTTTGTAACATTTAACCATGCTTTCACTTGAAAGTTTTTAGTCTACAATTTTATCTGGGTTGAAGAGTGTTCAACTTTGGCCTAGTAGTTCTTGCTAAGTGACACCAAAATGTCGTGCTTGAGCTATTAAGCGACTGTTGAGACTGCATTCAATTTCTAACTTCATCCTTTTAGATAATAGTATTACACATAGGACATCATATAGCAAGCTGTTTGTTCCTCATATATTTTCTTGATATTATGTTTAAAAGAATCAGTACAAGTAATCCTCTACTGATTGTTTAGGATGTCTCAGTAACATCATTGCTCTTGAACTTCTTGAGTGTCTTATGAATCTCTATATATGCAAAACCTTTTGAATATATGTAACAATTGTACTAAATGTCTTAATTAATGTGTGCCCATTTTTTATGAGTTTATTATACACTCTTAAATTTATACACATTAAATACAACCACCATTTACAATTTTAAGAGTGCATTAATTTTATTGACGTTATTGTATACATTATGTTGGACTAGTAGCGATTCGCTAGGGGATATTCTCACTATTCCAAAATCGACTTAGATTATTAATTTTTACATCTTAATCAAAATAATAATGTTGGTTTGTCTTTCCTACTTACAAATAAATATTTTTCCTGTAATGATTGCATTCCTCAACTCTATGTTGAAATATTCGGTAGCCTAATTTACCTATTTTGAATTCTCTGAAAGTTTTAAGATATATGTGAGATTTAATTCAAGCATTAATCTAGTTTGAGGTGTGAAAAAAAAAATTCCAAAAAGTATCAGCCAAAAAATAGAGAAGAAAATTGATTCACTTCTTATTTATTATGCTTGTAATGCCATGATTTAAATGTCTGTCCTATGAATTTCATTACAATAATTTAGTATTTTATATTAAACTTTAAAAAATATGATATTTAAGTGATAAATGAAGATTACACCAAATTAACAGTTTCTACGAAACTCAGTATAGAGAGAGGCGATGTATAAACCAGAACATGAGTCCATGGTGATAATTATTATGGTCCAGCACTTCTATTAGTACTTTATGCATGCGTAATATACTCGAAATAATTACATCTCACTCTGTAACAGTGTTTGCCATAACATAAACCTTAATAAAAAAATCTGATTTTTGAAGTTTTATTATTACCAATACAAATTATTCGAATTACTCAAGTTTCATTCTACTTAGCTTTATCCATTCAAACATCTACAACAAGCTTGAAAAAATAACAATTGCCTAGAAACATAGTGCAAGTATTAGAAATTTAGATGAAAGCCAAAGCATTCACTAACTGCAGTGTAATTGTAATTAAGATCTCATCAATCATACTCATCAAAAATATCAGTAAATAACATACAGAATGGATAATGACCTTCAATTCTGATTTAAGCACAAAAGTTTGCGTTTCTATTACACTACTTATAAAGAATTTAAAGTATCATAATGGCAACATACTCTTGCTAGCTTTAAATCAAATAATTAATATGGACTGCTAGTAATGTATCATGGACTTGGTTAAGATTACTTCTAGCCGAAAACAACAATGAATATCAAGATTGCTGGTTAGAAAATAGTTTAATAATAGGATCCAGAACAGTATGATTGTTAATCTTTAACACTTGTAATGAATTATTGATTATTAATGACAGATAAGAAGTCTGAGATCAATAAAACGGATTTCATTATCCATTATAACATTGCCTGCATTCAAATAATACACACAATGAAAATATGCAGTTGAACTGAGAATCATGTTGCTATCTTTAAACTTCTTAAATATAAGGTTTAACTCTAGATAAATCTCCAAAAGTTATCCAGACTTTAGCTTTACATTTATTCAATTCGAATATTATTATGCGATGGCTAATGCAGAAATAAAACAATTTTAAACTAATCATGGATTTTTGGGTTAGAAGGTGATTAAGCTCAATGAAATGATGGTTCAACTTTCAATATTGCGATTGAATAACAATCATATGTAATCCTTTTAAATAATTTTTATTTACCCACCCAACCAAAAACAATAATAGATGCTAAGAATCTGGATATACTTATTTCAGGAGCAAGTAGGTAATAGAGTGAAAAACAATTAAGATTAAAAAGTCGTTTAATGTTGCCCAAACACTCCAAATTGTGCAAAAATATATTATTAATCAACATATTACTATAATAGCAATATTTGTCATAAGCACTCTTACATTCCTTATCATTATGACAAAATCCTTGATTAACCAAATTAATTCCAATCAAAGGTATCAGTCTGAAGTCAATAAGATAAATAACTAGTTAATCTAAATGATTAAAAAATAACAACTAGCCATATTTCTACCTTAGATTTTACATTTTATTTGAAGGACAAAGTATATGTAAAACAACAGTTAATGTAGAGATGTTACAACGGAATTTAGGGAGGTGTAATACAAAATATTCATAATATGCTTAATGCAAAATCTAATTTTAAGTATGGATCGATAATTGAACAAATGCCAAACAGAGATAATTCAAGTAGGACAAAACAATTCTCTCTTTTTTGTCAATAGACCGCAATTGCTTCCAAGTTATTCTCAAAGATCTTATGTCAAGACGACTTCTTACAATCCAGGCACTTTTTTATCATCCCTTTCAATAATATGTGTTTTCATGTATTTTTTTGCTGCACCTGACTATTCAACCTAATAAAAAACAAAAAGAATCTGAATTACTACAATTTATTAACATACTCCATTATTTGATGAAAGTCATTGTCCTAGGCTGACTTAAGGTGTGAAATATCTCAATGCTCTTAATCCAAATAGTTAAGCTAGAGTAGCAAGGTTAATTTAAATTTAAATAAAATGTGAATGTGATTATCTTGACTCTCTTAAATCAAAGGGGTGTAGTTATAATCACCATGTTAGAAGTTTCAGAAATAATATCTAACAGAAAAACCACAAAGATTTATATTTCTCTCAATAATTACTTCATTTTCAATTCAGAATGATTATTCAGATTATAAATCAGTTGTTCTAAATTAGATTCAGCGAGAATGCAAATTTCTTATTTAATACTTATTTTATCCTAAGATTGGCAACAGATAATTATATCAATTTAATTACTCTAGTAAATATTATTAAATAGTACCCTACAAAGAAGAAAGTAGGGATGAACCAAATCGCTAAATAAACAATATATCTTGAAAAAAAATTTGTATATTGTTAACAAATTTTTATGGAAAATAAATATACTTTTTTAATACTAATGAAGGATACATTTTGACCTTGCCTTTAATTAATTTATTCTTATTTAACCTTAGATCTCAAAATAGTATTCCTATTATACAGAAATTATTTGTATCAGATGCAGTCAGAAATGCAAAATGTAATATTTAAATGATAAAGTAATTAAATATTCTTTGAATGCTTGCAGGGTGGAATCGAAAAAAATATGTCAGGAGCTATATAATTTAGGGCAAATTTCTGAAGTAGAGTTTATACTCTTAAATACAGAAAGAGAGACTAGAATTAAAAGACTAAAACAATTTATATCAATCAGCCTTAGTGCAGGGAGTCAAAGTAAAACCAACTATTGAAATTATACGAATACAATATTTAGGGATAAAAAAACCCTAAAAGATTGCTTGAATTTTTCTTGTACAAAAGTAAAACTGAAATTATGAAATTTATACAATTTCTATGAATTTATTTAATAAATTCACAAAGTGGTTCTTTACACTTTATTGAGATTTTAAAATAATTTATGAGCAAATTTATCTGTAAGGATAATTTCTATAATCTAATCTATGGCTTTAAGATTTAACATGAAATTTTTATAATGAATTGATGGATAATACCCTATGTACTGTAATTCTCCTATTAAATTTTAATATAAGGGGTAAACGTGAAGTGTGATGTATGGTGATTGCATGATGATAATTTAACTGTTTTTTAAGTTAAGATACAAGGTTTTATCAGAATGCCTTTTCTAACAATGTCTGGACAAATTTCCAAATTATGTCTAAATTAAGACTAAATATTTACATTTTATGGTCTTCCACAATAATGAGCGCACATCTTCTTAAGACAAATCAAAAAAAAGGTATTGATTCTCCTCCTAATTCTCCATTCTCTACAATGGCAAAAATTTACATTTTTGTTTTTAGCAAGGTGAAAGATAATATCTTAATAAAAATTTTTTGAAGTTCAATTGAAATTTGTTTATATAATGTTATTTTAAGTCCTTACTTATTCTTTCTAGATCATATGGCAGTGACTTTTATTCTATTTATGAAATGATTAGGTTTTCGGTCAAAGCTTGAATTATCGCCGATTGATTAATGTTGTTATTAAATATTAAACACAATCCTGATTTTAAATCATTAATGTTATTTTACTTTATCATAAATTGCAATATTAAATTTAAGATTCTAACATGGGCCTATTAATCATTTTGAACTACTTCTTCTAAAACAGTAGTTTAATTGCTTTAAAACAGTATTCTTAATAGAGCTAAGACATCTTATAATAATAAATGGGTGTTTTTCAATTTAAATTTGTTTAAATCACTCAACAATTAAAATAATAAGCTACAAAGAACTTATGAAAAAATTTCATCGAGAAGTTTTGGAATTTCTAGTTCTCCTTTCTCTACTTAAAATCTTTTATAATATTCCATCAATTTTTTAGATGTAATTGTACCTAAAAAGAAATCCAAATTTTCGATTAGAATCTAATCATTTGCAGTTTTAATATGGATTGGACTTACAAAGGTAAAATTGTATGGAGATAAGCAGGTTGGACATCTCAAATATTAAAACTCACCTATGTTATGCTTTTATTCAATCTAGAATAAGCAGTATTTATGAAAAGTGTGTTAACAGCTTGACGCCACAATTTAGAAAATGTCTGTTTATTAGTTTTGTTGGTATTTTTTAGGGCATCGCATTAATACGTTTAATAACATTTGTATAAGAAATCAATAACGCACTATATTATATTTCTTATTTTTCAAATTGCAATTAGCATAAAGAGCAATTGTCATTACTCATTTCATGTGGAACTTCTGCAATTTGATTACTAAATTCTGATCCCATATTTTCAAATTTATTCTAGACCTTTCTCTTCAATAGTTATGATTTACAGGCTCTTAAAGTATCATTTTCAACTTAGGAGGAATTTAAACTAAAGGTTTCGTCAAGTTATCTTGCAAATATTTCATAAATGCTGTTTTATGTTTAAGTTAAATTAACATCTTATATGATTTATAAACAGATTGAAAAATACTACTCAAATACTCTTAGAGAGTTTTATTTGTGTTTTTAAAATGTTTATTACATAAACAAACTAAGTTAATGTAGACAGAATAATCCTTCAATATTTAAGAAATATTTTAAATTAGTCCCAACTCCTGTTAACCTTGTATTTATTCAATAATATTATTGAAGTACTTATTATTCTTGGTCTAAAACAATGGCTTTAAGAATGGCTAACCTCTTATATGTTAATGTTGATTTGTGTTCGTTTATTTGGGATAGTTCATTAGCTAGAGCAGTTCCAAATAACTCAGATTATTTGTCATTTTAGGTTTTCAATTTTTCTGTTATTTATTCTTTTAGTTCTAATACCAATGAAGCAAAAATTGGTTCATATTAAACAGGTTAAAGCGATCTTTTTAATTACAATTATTCATTATCTTTATTTAATTCACAAGAACCCAAAATAATATTTTATAAATCCCATCTGCTGTCATAACTAAACTTTTTCAATAGTTCTCGAAGATCATTCACTTGGTTAAATGACTAAGCGAAGAAGATTGTTTGGAATAATTTGTTTAAGCATTTTTAAAACTCATTTCCAAACATGTCTCCTACACATTAAATCAGATCATAATCAGTTTAAGCAATTCTACAAATAAGAAATTAAGGATCAGATTTGTAATCGAAGAATTTTGCAATTTCTTTATAACTGGAGACAATATAATTTATTCCCAGAGAGCCAAATAAAAAGGCATATAGTTAAATATAAGCTACATCGACTTGTTCAAGTGATGCTTCTTTTGGTTTCATTTCTTCCTTATACAATTTCGCTTAGCCCTTATAGAGTTTTGGAATTCCACACTTTAAAAGTACAATGTTACTAAGTAAAATTCTTTTTAACAGGCTCAACAGAACTTATCTAAATTACTCTGGGGCTAGGTTACTAGTTCTTAATAAATCCTCATAGGTCTCTTGAGGGCCATTAAACTCCATCAAAAATATTGATAGTAAAGTTAAAAACTTCCTATCACAAATCACTAAATTTTACAAATAAGTTTATAATGTGGATTCTTTTGTTAATGAAAAAGATGTGTCACAGTTGTTGAAAAAATAGTTAATTGACAATCTAAATATATTCTATAATCCAGTCCTATTTTATTTATTAGAATCTCTCCAAGTTTCAACTATCACGGACAATAACTTTCGATATCCTTAAAGCAGAATAATTTGATTTTCCTCTGATATCTGGAATTTACTTTATTCTTATGGCTTGAGGAGATGAAAGGTATTTTCTTCAGTTTATTTACAAGGATATAATTTAATTAAGGTGTATATTAATAAGGAAGTACTTTAAAGTTCATTAAATTGTAAATTATGGGGTATATTGAAATTAAGTTAAAACTGTTGCCTTAATTGGAGAGAATCTCTGAAATTTATTCAAATAGTTGCTTAACGACATCATCATAAAACTATGTTAGAATCAAGTTATCAAACTATAAACAGAAACTTTGCGTTTCTTAGTTACATAAAGGTCTAAATTAGCAAATTAATAAATTACAATTGCTGTAGTTGTCTTGAGAAAATGTCAAACAAAGAATAAACCTATGGTTTGTTAATTTCTTTATATAAGCTTAAAAGAATAAAAACTATATAACCCGCAAATTGATAGAAATATTCAAATATAGAAGCCCTTTCCACATTGTTTTCACAAAATTATTTTAGAATATTCTAATTTTTAAGCAATTTCTGAAAGATCACATTTAGTTTCGAGTCTGCAGAATAATTTGTTTTATTAATTTAAAACTTTATTTCTTAATTATCAGCTGTTATTAATTTGTAAACTTAAATTGGATTATACAAGTGATGATAATGAATCAATACTTCTTTGCATAAATTAGGTTTGAACTTCTCATCAACATGCAATTTATAAAATAAATCGGAAATTTAATTTTTTTCATCATCATAAAGAAAAAATTGTGAAAAAAACACATTATGTTTGACAAATAAGTTTAAGATACTGCATTTTGCAAAGTTATTATTGCGTTTCTAGTCTAAAGTTTGCAAATGGATCATTGGAATGTGCATGATATAGTTTTATAAATTGTTAAATCTATTCATCGATGGGTATTTAAAGAAATTTGCTTGTTGTATAACTCCAAGGGGTGTTATTTTAAGTTACAAATTTAATGACTTTGAAAATAAGTGTATACAATTTTTAGCCTTCTTTTAGTGCTTTTTCATGTAAGAGAACTCGCGCATATTCTCATTCATAATATTTTCAGAATTTTAGATTTTCAAATTTAGATGGCATCTTAGAACTGCTACATCGTTTTACTGGTATAATCAGCAACTTTTTAGGTCTATTCAAACAACAGTGCAAATGACACCAATATAAAATATTTAAATCTCTCTACCAAATTTTCTATGTAGATTAAATAATTTAGTACCTCCAAATAATTATTCAGGAATTGGTGTTTCTAATTGTTATTACGAATGTCTATTGCAAAAGGAGGTCTTTTTCAAAATCATTGTAGAATTAATAAATATTATTAATTTATAAAATATTTATCTTAACTATATCTCCACAATCACAACATCCTATATTTGCTTAATGATATGTCACTGCATGATCTTATGTAAAATAATAATAATACTCTAATGTTTTTGTGGAAATGTAGCATTCTTAGCAATATATATGAGTAGGCTCTTTGCTACAATCAAAACATCTGTAAAACAAAGCATTTTTAGGAAGAGGAACAGAACAAACAGTTCTAAATCCTGTTCCTTAGAATCTGATAACTTATCTTCAAATTCCTAATTGGTCAAATTTAGGACCAATTATACTAATTCAAAATCTTGTTTTCCCGATTGCGAGTTGGCAGTATTCAAAATTAAGTTAATCAACTTTTAAATATCCATTTAGAGGTTATTATTTATTTATATATTTTTTGTATAATTAATTATTTTTAATTTTACATACAACTATTTTCATATTACTTATGTAATAATTTTTAATGAAATTTTCATTTCTTTCGTATTAAAACAATTATGATTAATTTTGATATCGAAAATATTATAATCCTTTGAGTAATTTTCATAAATTGATTTATATTTGTCTAAGTTAAATAAATAAAAATTCTTTCATTATGTTAACTTATTATATCCTATTTTCCAAAATTTTTGTAAATTAGAAGATTTATTGAGCGTCATAATATTATTTCGATTTTTAGAGGAGACTTTGATTATTTTAATATATAAGAGTTATTTAGTTTACAATTATTTTAAATTAGTTAAAATATGGATTTAGCTCAACAGTTTACCTTCCTATAAAGTGTAACTTTGGAATCCAAAATGAATAATAAGCTAATTTGATAATCAATTTTTTGTAAAATTGAAAGAGCCTATTCAGAAATAAACAGAAGAAGAATCATAATTAAAGTCTTAAAATTATGAGCTACCTTGTTTTTTCGATACAAATGAAATTAGAGAAAAGTATTATTTGTATCTTAATTGATAAGTATTTCCAAAATAAAAAGGGACAATAACGATTAGAGAAGTTTTAAGTGGTTTAGGATGAGCAAGGATTCAAACGCCGATATACATCATCAATTTGTGACTTTTTTAGAATTTATTGGAGATTTTATCATGATAAATTGATAATTACGCTGTGATTTGATCGTTCTGAGTTATCAGATAAAAAAAAAATAAATAAATGGAATCCATGCGTGTCTTCAAATCAAGTCTATGGTAGTTAAAGAATTAGCAGAAGATAAACCCTTTAAAATATATGTGATTTATTAATTTACAAACCTCATTTTATTTAAGCGAAAATTTTAATATTTACCAGCATCATCTGAGAATAGACAATATTGATTTCATTTTTTAAACGCAAATTGATTAGTTAAAGAATAAAAACTAATGAACTATCTCCATTTTTCAGAATAATGTGACTAAAGTGCATTATGTGACAGAGCAATCAGTTTAGGGTTTATCCTATCCAGATGAAGATTCTTACCTTATTTAGGGGTTTTCTATAAATTTAATAATTAAGATGAGGATCCTAAATTAACTATTATTTCTTGACCTAAGATTTTCAATACTATCTTGAGTGATACTTTCCAAGCTTTTATGAAAATTGTCCAATCTATTGTGAATAGATCAGCCATCATCCTCCAATATGCTCTATTCAAAAGTATGGCAGACCATATAAGTATGTCTATGATTAAGACATCTAGAATTGGTGTCTAATTTTCGTTATACTTTAGTTGTTGATTGAAATGTTGGATTCTTTAAGATTACTTTTGAAAATACCCATTATGAGATTTTATTGAAATTCCCTCCAAGTAGTTTGAATGGGATAACCTGCGTCGATACTGTGCTGAATTATGTGGTATTTCATTTAAAGAAATCTTTTCGCTATGCCAATTCAAATCCATTCTACAAATTTCATAATAAATCATATCAAATAATTTTTCTTTTTTTTATTTTCTTTGCTCTTCATCAATAAATTTCATACAAATATTCGATTTGATATTTTCTGTTTTATCTTATTTTTAAAATTAATTTAGATAAAACATATGTTCTCAATCTAATGATTCACAGAGCTAATTTTAATGAGTATTTTTATTATATAGATTTGACAAATTAAGTTCTTTCAGTATTCAAATCATAACAAAATACATCCCAAAATCTAAGACTAAATATTGCAAAACGTTTCAAAGCACTACATTTAATTGATTTTTTAAGAATAGAGCTTGAACCCTCAATGGAATATATGAGAAATTCATAATTCTACATTGCTTTCTCAACTCATTAGTGATATAATTATCTAATTAATTCTAAATCTTTGCAATATTGCATTTTTTCCAAACTAAAATGCGCAAATCAACCAAACTCGCTCCTTATGATGAAATATAAATATATTTCTCTTTATGTTTTTTTTATAAGAAGTATAGGAGTAAGATTAAGGAAGCGGATGAAAATTTCTTAAACTCGAGTTTACGATAATTTACAAAGTCAAGTTAAAAAATTATCAATAGATATAAATTTGATATCCTTTTTAGTTTAAGTTGAATCTAATACCTGCTCTTTTGCTAAAATTAGATGTTCTGTTCCATTGCCTATCCTAGTTCTCACAAACATCTTTAAGCTTTTCTAAAATTCAAAATAGCTTTCACCTACTTTCTCTCCTGATGCTCTATTAGTATCCATTCATGTTTTTAAATCTCCTTATTCTTCTTTCAGATTTTCATCGTTTCCGCAATATTTTATTAATATCTTTATGTTTATTAAGAAATTCTATGAATTTTTCATACTTTTAATTTTTTTATTTTTTAGAGATTTCTTAAGTCTTATGTCTCCTTCTTAGACTACCAGGTAGCGTCTCCATTCTAAATTTCCAATCAGAACCAAGGACCTAGGTAAAAACAACTTTCTATATGTATATCTATCAAATGTCCATTACTTTAATGAGGCTTGAACTAATCTTTAATTTTCAGATAACTCACTATTTAAATATGGATAGAATCGTATATTGCTGGAGAAGAACTGAAATATAGAGGCCACAATATAGATTCTTAATATTGGATCCTACACTTTTAGTTTAGATGGTAGCATTTTTCTGAAAATATCATAACTTAATTTTATAAAATACTTTGTTATTATGTTATAATTTATTTAGTATTTTAATTAGAAAGATGAAGATCTGTCTGATTTACAATAACTTCATCATATTTTATTATTAATCATATTGATCTTCTATAAACTTTAAGGTGTTGAAATTAAATATATTCCTTTAAAAAAGCACTAGGGTGCGAGTTGCTTAATCGAAATTATTACTCATCTCATTCAGATTTTTATTCCATATTTATATATATTATATACTAAAAGCTCATTCATCTCTAAACAGGGCAAAAGGATCATCAACAAAAATAATATTCTTGATCTTTAATAAAGAGTTTGAATCATTTCAAGTGTTACAAAAATTACGTTCTTTAATCCATATTACTATCCAGATTATAGCCCTTGCCTTTATGGACTTTGAAAACCTCCTTACGTATTTCCTCTATGACATAAAATGTTATTATATCAAATTTAATAAATGAAATATTAAGCCATCCATATTTAATTAAGAGTAATAGAATTTGGACATTAAAAGATCCAAAATGTCCTATAAATCTAATAAACAAAGAAAAAATCATTATTAATTACAATAATATTTGATAATAGATGCTTGAGTGCCAAGAATCTGATCATAATGAGTAAGAAATATTATATGCTTGTTTAAATATGAATTGTTAAGTGAAAAGAAGTTGTTGCTTATATTGTATTTAAAAGCACAATTTACATATGTAAGATTTGAAAACAATGAAACAAATTAAATTATGGAAAAAAAATACTTATTAAGTTTATGAAATATATTCAAAAAAAATAACTTAGATTGTTGAAATAATGGGTTAAGCTGAAAAATACTTATCTAGTTTGGGTAAAGATCTAGATAAATAATTTGACGAAATGATAAATGAGGAGTTTGAAAAATAAGTTTGCAATTTATTAAAAATTGATTAATTATCATCATCTTTCAATCAATTAATATCTAATTTAGAAACATTAATGGAACCTATTTCTTAAATATTTTAAAATGTTGAAGCCTCTTCATAAGAGGCAAGTGTTAAGATCTAGCCAACTCTAAATAATTTAAATGCGAAATTAAAAAGCACAGACAAAGAATAATAAATATAAAAAGAAATAAATTTATAAATTTAAGAGGCTAAGCAGGTCAAACCAAAAAGACAAAAAAATAAAATATATAGCTACTTAAATTTAATAGAAAAAACTCATAAATTAGAGAAGAGGAATGATTTTGATATTCACTAATATCCTAGGTATAGTAAATCATCATTTGATAATTTGGAACAATACACAACCATTATTCTAGTTGGAACTTAAAGTTCAGAAAAGCAGAATCTAATAAACTTATTTGTAAATTATTATTATGGTGTTTTATTTTCAGATCCATATAGATTCGAAATTATTGATGATATTGATGTAACCAAAGAAAAACAAAATGAGGAATATGAAAAAATGAAAGTATATTATATTGCTCCATAAAATGAAAAATCAGGGCTTAGAATAATATATACGCCGGATTATAGTGATGATCTTTGTTATGATGATCAAATCTTATACTAAAGAATATATGAAGTTATTTCTAATTCAGTTTCACTTAATCAAAATATTCTAATTGGATTTGTTATTCCACAAAATGTATAAATAGGTTCATTTTTTATGTTGGAATCTATTTTATGTAGATTTTCAAATAAATTAATCAAAAACATAGTCTTTTTATTTCCAGATTGTACTGATGAATATCCTAAATAGAAGGAAATATTGTAATCTAAATCCGAAATAATTAATGGAATACCATCTCCTGTGTTCGAAATGATGCCAACCATGAATAATTTTTGTTATCTCAAATTTAACACTTCTGCATTATTTATTGATAATAAAACCTAAGAGACCTAATTTCTCTGGGAAATGGGGAAGAATAGTTTTTAATTACTTCTTCAAAATTATTTATAAAATAAATTTAACTACAATAAACTATAAGAAATGATACAAAAGTACGATGAGTTTATCAAGACAAGTACTCTATTACCATTGAGGGAAAAGTTTTTGGGGTTGTATAAAAGGGAAGTTTATGATTTTGACAATTTTGAAAAAATTTAGAATTTAAAAAACTAGTTAGAGTCATACGTTTCATATCGGGAAACTAAAGACAATTATAATTATTATGATATAAAGAACCCAGAAAAAAATGAAGAATTAAAAAAAATTATAGAGAATTGTTGTAAAAGCTTAGTTCGGGATTATAGTACTTAATATAAGAGTCTTGAATCTCTAACAAAAGACAAAAACTATAGTTAAGGATTTGAAGAATTTTATGATCTGTTTAAACGGTTTTAGAATAAATATAATTCATGGCGATTATATTTCTAATTTAATTCAATTTTAATATAGATAAATCACTGTTAATGGAGATATTATGAACATTTAATTTCAAAAGAATAAAGTTAAAAGTTAGAGGGTTGGGACCAAAGAGTGAAACTATTAACAAGTAGCAAATTCTGTTATCATTCTGATGGCTTTGCCCTGATACCAAATTTAGATAAGGTTTTTAAAGAATGGTTTGATCAATATCTGTCTTTGAAAACTTATTACCGTAGTTAATCTTATAGAAATGAATGGAGTATAAATGATAATAAGGAGTTAAAGATTCATGCATATAATAAAATATTATTTTGTAATAATGGTTCTGGAATTAGTTGCAGAATAGGCAATGGTTGTGATAAGGAGTTTGACATTTTCCTTTAGAGAACTTGAGAATCTGTTTTGACTTGATTATTATATTGTTCTTATCTAAAAATAATATCATATTTAAATATTGATTTTATATTAGATGCTTAATTTAACTGAAATTGTAGAAAATAATACCTTATTTCTAATAATATAATTATATAAATAAATTAATATATATTTAATATTTTAATGAGCATAACAAAATTATCCATTCTAAATTTTTTTCAGACTTCAAAATACTTTTCTCCTAAATAATGTTAGCTTCATAATTCATTTAAATTGAAGGTACTATTGAATAGAAGCAACTTCAGGACAATTTCTTAATAGCTGGAAAAGAATTGCATTCAACTTCTAATAATTTGTAGATATAAATATCTAAATGAATATCAAGTTAGACATATCATTCCATTCCCTTACCTGCTAATTTTAACATTATTAGAGTGCCATCAATTAATACAAAATATTAAATTCCTTCCATAGTAAATATTACATATATTGGAGAGAATTGGAGTTAACTATTCTAAAGGAAAAAATTAGGGACATTTTTGAAGACATAGAGGCGTAGACTGCCCTAATTAAATACTTACATCTTGGTGGTTAGGTTAAGACTTTAATTTGACTAAGTCCTTCAAAACGAATAGTTTAATAGATATTTCTAGTTGCATTATCAATGTTAATCCACCAAGGCTTGACTCCAATATAATCTTCTCTTACTATATTGGAGGTTTGGTTTATTTATTATAACCCGCTCTATCTGTTTATCCTTTGCTTCAATAAGAACTAGATTTATTATACAAAAATATAAAACTCTCTTCATCTGAATCATAAAATCCATTTGATGAATGGTGAGAATTGTACATATCCTAAAAGTCCTTTGAATTCTCCACTCTGTTCCATTCCTCTTGATCGTTGTTACATCGAAACTAAGAGTTAATTGTTAATGAAAGTCATCAATTTCTGTTACTCTAAGTTATCTGATTTTGGCGAGTTTTCCTAATTAAGTCAAAATTGAAACAATGTAAAAGAGGTTGAATTAGTAACCGTCTATTTTATTTAATTTTGAAAATGGAGGTGAGCTGCTGATAGATTTGTAAATTGATTCAAAGTAGTTTCAGGAATATTTTTGTGCTTTCAAGATCTCAAAAATAAAAAAAATGAATTTTGATTCTCATAGAAAAGTAAATAAAACAGTTTTAATAAAATTAATATTTATATCCTAGGCAACAAACTTGAATTGAATAAGAATTTGCTTGATTTACTTCCCAGATTAAATTTTGAGTAAATACAAATCCTATGGTGTACCAGAGGCCTTGACCTTATTGTTAAATCTTTAAATTTACTATTCCTTGATAACTATGGTGCACCCCAAAGGCCCAGAAAGATTACATCAATAATATTTATTGCCGAATAAATGGGTCTCACCATGCAAACAGAGAAAATTTATGGAAACCCCTACATAGGTTTATGTTCAATCCTTTCTATGAGTCTTCCCTACTATTTTTCAGAATTTAATTACTGGGCGTGGACAACACCCTTTGGCTAACTAAAAAATTAAAGAAGTTACTCGGATAAATCCGAGTTGTTAATTAATTAAATTTCCTGCTATGAACTATTATTTAGCTATAAGAACAATTATAGGATCTTAGGGCGATAACTCAGAGGATTTGGTATTCTGAATGATGCGGTGCTATTAGTTCTGAAGTCAATATTTTACGCTTTATCAATCACAACACTAATTTTAACTTCTCTAAAAATTCAAGTTAATTTAAAAAAACATTTATGTGTTTATCACAATCTTATTATTTGGGCTTATTATGGATATTTCTTTTTCAATCATATAGATCTCTGTATGTTTTCTTCTAAGGTTTCTTTGAACTTGATTCAATTTATTTAATATGATGCTCAAAAGGTAAAGATTATCATTTTTTCAAATAACAAGTAAATTTTGACCGCTTAAGTAAATTTGATAGATTATTTTCTAACATTTTATCTAAATTTAAATATTTGGAGACTTTATGAATATATTCACCTTTGCACATTAGAGGTTTCTTTTTTGAATGCTGTTATTCTAAAACTATAGCTTGGGCTTAATTCATCAAATTGAAAAATATATTCTTGAACTTTAATTAATAAAAGTGATTTTGTTGTTACTAATGGAAGTTAAATTCCTTATTATCGTCTAATTTAATTTCTTGATTTTTGCTATAATATTGTAATCTAATTAAGCATTTTAATCATTAGTTAGAACTCTGCTTTTAGTACACCAATGGTCATAATTGCCCTTCAAGAAATTTCAGATGGCAAGTAGTATAATTCGTATCAGTTCCTCAAATAGTCTGATAATCATTGTGTTTCTTTAGTTCTATCTTATTAAAATGATACAGATTTTGAATGCATCATAATGCCAATTGAATCATGGCAAAGTTCCTGAAACAAAAAAAAATATTAGGGCCTTGATGGTTTTGATAAATACTAGCTTTTCTAATTGATTTTTCTTATTTTCTATTTTAGATTTGGCTATTACAAGCAGCAGATTTCCAGTCTTATACACAGACTTGCCACATTTATTTAATAGTAGTATATTATTTTCCTCTGGTCTGGAGTCCAATTAACTTTTCAGCCTAGAAATTTGTTATTGATAGCTATATATTAGAGATTTGACATGTCTTTAGAACCTTCATCAGATTCTCCTAAAATAGAATNTTGATAACTATGGTGCACCCCAAAGGCCCAGAAAGATTACATCAATAATATTTATTGCCGAATAAATGGGTCTCACCATGCAAACAGAGAAAATTTATGGAAACCCCTACATAGGTTTATGTTCAATCCTTTCTATGAGTCTTCCCTACTATTTTTCAGAATTTAATTACTGGGCGTGGACAACACCCTTTGGCTAACTAAAAAATTAAAGAAGTTACTCGGATAAATCCGAGTTGTTAATTAATTAAATTTCCTGCTATGAACTATTATTTAGCTATAAGAACAATTATAGGATCTTAGGGCGATAACTCAGAGGATTTGGTATTCTGAATGATGCGGTGCTATTAGTTCTGAAGTCAATATTTTACGCTTTATCAATCACAACACTAATTTTAACTTCTCTAAAAATTCAAGTTAATTTAAAAAAACATTTATGTGTTTATCACAATCTTATTATTTGGGCTTATTATGGATATTTCTTTTTCAATCATATAGATCTCTGTATGTTTTCTTCTAAGGTTTCTTTGAACTTGATTCAATTTATTTAATATGATGCTCAAAAGGTAAAGATTATCATTTTTTCAAATAACAAGTAAATTTTGACCGCTTAAGTAAATTTGATAGATTATTTTCTAACATTTTATCTAAATTTAAATATTTGGAGACTTTATGAATATATTCACCTTTGCACATTAGAGGTTTCTTTTTTGAATGCTGTTATTCTAAAACTATAGCTTGGGCTTAATTCATCAAATTGAAAAATATATTCTTGAACTTTAATTAATAAAAGTGATTTTGTTGTTACTAATGGAAGTTAAATTCCTTATTATCGTCTAATTTAATTTCTTGATTTTTGCTATAATATTGTAATCTAATTAAGCATTTTAATCATTAGTTAGAACTCTGCTTTTAGTACACCAATGGTCATAATTGCCCTTCAAGAAATTTCAGATGGCAAGTAGTATAATTCGTATCAGTTCCTCAAATAGTCTGATAATCATTGTGTTTCTTTAGTTCTATCTTATTAAAATGATACAGATTTTGAATGCATCATAATGCCAATTGAATCATGGCAAAGTTCCTGAAACAAAAAAAAATATTAGGGCCTTGATGGTTTTGATAAATACTAGCTTTTCTAATTGATTTTTCTTATTTTCTATTTTAGATTTGGCTATTACAAGCAGCAGATTTCCAGTCTTATACACAGACTTGCCACATTTATTTAATAGTAGTATATTATTTTCCTCTGGTCTGGAGTCCAATTAACTTTTCAGCCTAGAAATTTGTTATTGATAGCTATATATTAGAGATTTGACATGTCTTTAGAACCTTCATCAGATTCTCCTAAAATAGAATTACTGGATTTGATTCGTTTAATAGCATAATATCATCATTATATGATGATATTATGTTATTTATTGTGATTATCATAAAATACAAAGTGAAACAATCATAGATTTCTCTGATAAAACCATCAGTCATATTTTAATCATAGAGGAATTTTCAAAATTTAGATTTCTTAGATTGACCTATTTTTCTCTAAAGTCTCTCCAATATATTTCTATGATTATCAGTCAACTTCCTTGGAGATTAAAAGATAGCAATTAATTTTCTAACAGAGATATCTATATTATTAGATTGCTTATTTTGGAGAAATTTCAAAATTACTGAAAATGAATTATCTTTATCAACTAACTAATGAATAGATAGTGAGTTTGTGAGATGTATTTATGCTCTTGTCAAGTAACGCTATCATTAATCCTTTAATAAGTTTTTACTTTACTATGTCAACAGCCTCCCTCATTTTCAGCAATACATAATATTACAAATACATTTATCTACATTTTCTTTTCAAAATCGCGGAACACTTCCTTTATGAAATTCTTGAATTAAGTCAATTAATTGATTAAATTTAGAACCATAATTTTTATTTGATGTAAATTATTTGGATAATTCAAGAAACTAATTTCTAGCATCTTTGAAAATTAGCAACCTATTAAAGGATGACAAGATGATCACCTACTATAATCATCTTCCAAATTATTAGTTTTAATCCTCAATAGGCTAATTCTAAGAGTCTTCAATCATTAATAATTTAATATATATATCTAATTTATCTTTTTATCATTGCCTTTAAATGATATGAAAGTTAATTAGATTTCTAGAGTAAAATAAATAACATAATTTTAGAATAACGTGTCAAAATATATATCAAGTTATTAAAAAATTGATTGATAATATAATTTTTTGTTTTAACTATTTATAATATACTTCTCATTGTTACTGCGAATAGACAAACAGTTATTTCAATAATTCCCAAT